GGCGGCAACTGCCGAGTGCCGAGCGTGCGCTTCTGTAACCGAGCGCAGCTCCAAGTGAGCGAGGGAGCTGCCACCACGGAACCGTCCCCTATCGACAGCTCTTTATTATTCCTCCCCCGTCTCCATTTGTCTTCAAAACAATATTTTCAGCAATGAAGTCAATTACGAGTCGACCGAGCATCTATAATCAACTGCAAATGGAGGGAGAGGTTACAGCCACGGACATTAAATCCCCGTCACAAACCGAAAAGGGTGGTCCGCACGGCTGCATCACAATGGGGACATTGACGGCCAGGCATTTACTGGGAGCTGGCGTTTCGATATTCAGCTAGGGACTGGTGATGCCATATCCATTGCAGTCACACCCGGACCTAATGCAGTGTGGAGAGTATATGGGATGGATTGCATATTATAGCAGACATTGGACTCATTTTATCCATAATGCAGCTGATCCGCTTAGGGGGCTTGCTAGCATAGCGCCTAGCATAACATCCAACAAGTACCTTCTACAACTGAAGAAGCAGGGGTCACCCCGCTAGCCAACTCCGAAGTCCAACTGTTATGAATTTCTACTGTAGCCCAAACTTATAGAGGGACAGTGATGAAGATAAGAGCATGGTAAGCATTTACCTATACCTGCACTGTTTTCAACGACGCTGGATATATTCAGGACGGAGTTGCGTTCTTGCTGCTATCAGCATAAGCATGAACTACCATGGCTATGCAATATAAAATATTCCAAACGTAACTTAGCGATTGCATGTCCTGAAACATACGATGAGCTAACCACCACGTTGGACCGAATGATACGACGGATTTGATGTTTATGTCAGTATAAATCAGCTGGTAGGTAATGCCGTGATAATTCGCTTATCACTGTCGTCGCTGTAATTAGCACCAATTAATTACACAAGCATTAAAGTACAATTGTCCAGGCCAGCCAGTAAAGTACTGTGCAATTATGAAGCACGCTATGCCTCGGAGGCCCGGGATAGTCTGGCGGTGAAATTCACGAGCTTTGGTTCACGACTCAGCCTGCAGATGTCGCGCAAGTTCTGGGTACCCACACGGCCCGCCAGGCCACATAGATAGACGCTGAAATACGCAGTGTCGTGAAATGATGAAAAATTGACATCAAGGTTTCAATGTTTTTTAGCGTCCCCTGCATGACCTCAGTTACAACCGGGCAACTATCTTTTTACATGTGTAGGCATGGGTTTATTTTCTGATAGGTAACTAATTTGCTCGTGTTTCATGTTACTTGTGAGTTGTGAGACAACTTTTAATTCACTTTACCTTCTCTGCAACGATGACACACATGTGCGTTCCTGGCAACTCCCAATCCATCCAATGCCTGCATATTTATATAACGAAATTCGGCCGTCATACACTAAACGATCGCTATTCATCCGGTAACTGCCAGACATCACTTACACAATGACTTCTTATCTTCGACAGTCCAACTGCACTGTAACAAACGATCCAATGGCTAGCCAGTAAACGATACGGTACTTTACAGCCATAGACGGGGAAATAAAACCGGCCGCCGACAGCCCACCGGCCTCACGTGCAGGTGCTCTGCTGAATGCATATTCAGAGGAGCCGGCGTCGTTCCGATCGGTGGTCAGGAAGAGTGATGAGGGTTATGTGGGATTATCATGAGCGGCACGTGGCGGATGGGTAAGGAAAGATGAGTCCATATAGTGCGGTAATGCTGCCGGGTGGTTGAGGGCGGTGTGGAGTATTCACAGACGTAGTGGTGCGATGAAGCGCCGTGAAGTTTTAGGCTACCAATGACCTGTTGACACAAACAAGGTCATCGAACATCGGCTCTCCAACGTAACCGTCCATACCGCTCGAGTGTCATGAGCTCCTGCCCTGCAGTGAGCGTCAGGATCACTCAGCTCCTATTCAACCACGTAAGACGACACACACCGTACTGAGACGGGTCCTCTACACATCTGGCAGATCCGAAACCGCCACCTGAGACGCTGTATCCAAACAGGACCGACTCTTGACGTCGTCACCAAAGGCAGGCAGCCACAAGGCGCAGCCACCCGGCTCCAGCGGCTCACTGTGACATCGGAGAGGAACGCGCATGCCCTTTTAGTGACTGGAGGACACTGGACTGAGATGTCGGGCCGAGGTCGACACCGGGTCACCACAGGCGCTGCACGATATGGGTGGAGCTGAGAGGCGAGACGACGAGGTCATGTCCACGGCGCAATTCAAACCCGTGTCATATTGTAGCGCTGAGTGCATTAGATGTCCCAGCCGCGTTGCAGCGGAGATCGCTGGTGATGTTCATATCTCGCTGGAACTCATACGCAAAATATTGTTGTAGCTTCAGTGTTGTGCCGCATTGAAGACCGGAAAGCACACACAAAAATGTCAGGAATGCAGCAATGACAGGTCGCCCGGGAGGCACGTGACATGTGTCGAGCCGTAGCGCCGCTTGAGGTGCCGCTTTTGTCTAACTTAAGGTGTATCAGCGGTGTTGCAACTAGTTGTTAGACCGTGTTGACTTGCATCGTGGGCACCTGCCTCCTTTTTAGCATTTTAACGACATTTTGTCGGTAAGTCGTTGGGTCAAATGTAAAATTAATATTCATCCAATGTTTGAACAACAAAATGAATTCAATTTTAAACGGTAAATAAACATAAGCCAGCTTCACGGTCTTCAGCTCGATCTTGTGCTTGTGTTGTTTTGATTAGTCGGTTACAGTGAATAAGGGTCTGAATCGCTTCAGTGGAAATACATTTAAATGTTTCGTAAGACATGTGACATTTTACGAGTATATCAGGGTTTTGTGAAACATATCGAAGGGCTCTGGAATTATAATGATGGTAGAGGAGCTAAAAGGTCACTTAATTCGTCAAACCATCGATTTATCTACCACTCCCACTCGCCTACAACAGACAAGAACCTCTCGGAGCCTCTGCAGCACCCGACTGATTGACCGGCGAAAAATCGCCCCTCTCCCACGCCTGAGCGCCATCCATCGCCGGGTATTGGCCAGTTTTGACAGGGCGCGCCCCCGTCGACCGACGCGCCACAAATTGGCGAGCCATGTCGCCGTGCCGTCGGTGCCGACGGGGGCCGCATTAAAATGCCGTCGGCCGCGCCGCGCCTATGACTGCTCCGGCCGCCACACCCGCCGGCCGGCGACAGACACGCAAGATTTACGACCCGAAATAATGAAAAGAAATATTATGATAGTCTGCCGGTTTCAATTAAGCGCCAGTGTGCGCGGTCGCGCCCGGGGGAGCGGCGCATTGTCGGGCGTCGATTGCGACGCAGGGCGGCCATTGTGGTGAATTAGGACTTAGGAGCGTCCGTTTACTGCGGTAGGGATAGGGAGCGGACAAAGAGTTGGTACAGATTAGCCTGCAATGAGCTGCGCTATCCCTGAGTGAGTCCCCTGACGGGAAGAGACCCTGGACTGCACCAAGTCTGGTAGTTGATGTGGAATTGAATCCAGGCAGTAACCACCGGTCGGGGTAACTGCTAGCTCGGGCTGAGCTGCTGAGCCAGAGTACACGGACGGACGCTCGGGGCGGGTGGACGATGGATGGGACGAACGAACGGGGGACACTGGCTACCGTTCTCCCTCGCCGCGCGCCACTTACGGCCCTGTCATCACTATTGGTTTGTCGCTGATGGCCAGAGGCGGAGCAAGGGGAAAGGGGACGGACGTCTGTATTGTCACCAACAACACTAACAGAATCATTACATGGGGCGTGGAGAAAGTATACGGCGATATAATCAACGTACAATGCAAGGCACTGACTGACCAACCAAAATTACTGCAGAGAGGCACTTCGCCGAACCGTTATCGCAGCCATGACCCGAGTCTGCTCCTGGGTACGCGCCTGGCGCTCCGGAGTGGCCCGTCATCAAATCAACTAATTAAATCAGCCGAATCTCTCCCTGGGGAGAGATCCATTAGTGGACAGGGGTTGCACGGGCCATCGGTGGCCATACGGCTGATGAAGCGTCCAACGACCAGCCCTGAGAGCCGTCCGCGACCCGACCCAACATCCTCTCCGCCCGGCCGGACCGAGCCGGGGCCGACTCGGCGCGCCCATTAACCCACTGAGATAAATCGGACACTGCTGATTTTTACACAGCGAATGCCGGTCGGTCGGCCGCGAGCGATGCGAGTGGCACGACAGACTGGCAGAGCGGCTAAAAACAGCACGGAGAGACCGCTTCGCCGAATCTGGCCCAGTCCAGACGCCGCGTCCAATGAGGCAGACCCAGGCAAGGGCAATCACTTGAGCAACGCGAGACGACATGGCCACGCGGCTGTGAACTCCGTGGGCTATCTGCGCTCTCAGTGACTGAGAGAGGATGCTCTCCTCTGGAGCTGTCGGCCTGTTGAATTATACCGTGACTCCCCGAGCCCGGTTGTTTGTGTTTGCTGTTCGTCAGGTTTTGTTTCCGCTGAAGTTTGTCAGCGGCAGGGACTGATGAGAACGGGATGTAATTACATGTTGTACGGAATCAGTGGAGATGGAGGAATTGGACCAGAGGGCTGGGACAAAAGTGGAAACGGAGATAGGGACGAACGACTAACGAGACAGGCCGAATAACCCCCTAGAACATAAAACACCAGGAAGATTGATTCCAGAGCCGGCGAACTCTAAATAACTATCGTTCAGCGCATGTGAAATCCACTCTACAGACTTCATACTGATCATAGCCACTTTTTTACTTAGCCGCCGCTTTGAGACCATGGCATTTCACGCCCAGCCATTCCAATAAAGTGTGCGATGACAAACAAAACAAATATAGCCTGACCGCGATAAAACGCTTGGTAAAGAAGCGACCATGATAAAAGGTCGATGGTTATGTGTCATCACTCAGATTGTCGCCAAGCTGATTTTCTCGGAAATTTTCAGAACACGTATCGGTAAAACGGCTGTAGTCGGGCAGCATGCACATTATTACACAAAGTCCCACCACACCTAACCCCGGCAGAAGCCCGGGGACTCACCTGGCAAAGAGCAGCGCTGCTGGAGACGCCTGCTGGAGGGCGGGCAGTGACGGCGGCGGGCCTCCGCGGAGGGTCAGCTCCTGCGCCCAAGAAGCCGCGATGGTGCGCGGAGGCTCCGGAACATCACTAAGGCCTCCTCTCTGCGGTACCGAGGGCAGTACCGGCACTCCCACGGGCACTCCGGTGGGCACTCCGGTCGGTATCCCCATGGGCACTCCGGCGGGGTAGACTCGGTGTGGATCCGGTCGCGCCGGTAGTCGGAGGTGTCTCGGTCTCTCCGGAAGAGGCGGCTTTGGCGGAGCGCCGCGGCGGCCGGCCGGCTCACCCGTCCAGGCCTGTGGATCGGCGGCTCCCTGCTCGGCCCACGGCTGGGAGCGGCGGCGCGCGAGCTTGGCGGCCACGTTCTCGTACACCCCCGAGCTGGGTCGTGCCGGTGAGTTGTTGTTGACACCACCGTGTGCCGAGTACGCCGCCTGTGCCGGGTGCAGCATCTGTGAACGAACGGACAGGCGGTGAGCAGTGAGCGGTGACGGCGACGGAGGCGACGCGCACGTGTGTTGTGACACGCCGTCGAGCGCTGAATTAATCACCGCCCGAATGGAGGCAGACGTAGCCGCGTGTCGCACAGTGCGTCGGACGACTCTCGCGGACCGACCGGCCGACCGACCGACACACTGCACCGGTCGGTACGGCGGGCCGCCTGGGCTCGTTTAGCGCCTAATCAATCAGCTCCCAGTGCTGATCACAGCCACCGGCAGAGGACCAGGGAGACCAGGGAGAGCGAGAGGGAGGGAGGGTGGAGAGGGTTAAAGCGGCAGCTTAGGGAGAGACATTTGCCACGGAAACACCGTGAGCTGTGACATTGGTTTGTTTGTTAGGACTCATCAAGCGAGCTGATTTACTGAACATAGCGAATCCTGTCGTGATTACGTAAGAATAATCAATGATGTCCAAAGGCATATCAAGGTTTTTCAATCCATAACTTCCAATACTCATCGACATTCGACAAGCTTCTGATACAGTTCAAGAAAATAAACGACAAAACCGGCTTGAGCGTCAGTGACCGTTCCATTCTGAGAACATACGCCACTAATGCCTGCAGTTTTCACAGATGATCTGTTCGCAACTGCCACAGGACAGACGGATCGCCCTCTTACACGAGTCCTTACACGCCACTGTACTTATAACCAAGGTGACAGGTCCATCCATCAACAGACAGAAGACGCCCAGATCTGTGGCCGTTTTCGGTCAAACTTTGTGTTAGTATCGGAGAATCAGCAACGGGTTCGCCCGTAATGCGACGACGGTATCGCGAATCATCCATGAGGCGACTAAAAGATATAATGGCACGATCCCTTAGGTCACAGAAGAGAAAAAGAGCCAAAGAAAAACTTCCTGTCTATAACAGGCGAGAAGATAAATTGATTCGTGATTTTGAGCTGCAATGAACAACAATCAGTGAGTAATGGCTATTCTTCCAGCAACTTCGCGACTAAGCGCAACGTGGCGTATGATATCAGTGTCTATAATCCCTATGACCGCCTCAATGATCAAAATCTTATATTGCCGTCCAGCTTGTGGCCTGTAGTGTCTCGTCTCGGTCTCCCACACCCTTCCCTCTTCACGTCACTACGCACAAACAAAATGCATCGTGAAAATACAAAAACCGCACCGCAGTCCTGACAAATCTAGCGTGAAACGACATCTGCCCACTTCTCGCTCCAGGGAGCATGCACAGGGCGCACCAACAGCGGAAGGACCACTTCCGACACGCGTCTGAAACGCACCCAACCTCCCACAGAAACCACGGGCCGCAGGGCACCAGCCCCTCACACACCCAGTCTCCCACAGAAATCATGACACGCAGTACAAATCTCCCCGAGAGCAAAACAACAGTCCTGTTTGCGCGCATGGATAGCCGGAGACACGCACAGATTGTCGCGCAGTTTGTTCAGCTATCGGGTCTTAAGACGGAGCGGGGTAAACACGTTCAATAACGCGCCCGGTGAGCCAACAACCCGACACGGTTGGAAGCGCCTCTCACGGTGTGTTCGGTCATCACGTGAGAGGACGCTGAGCGCTGAAGCCGCACGGGTGAAACACATTACTCTAACGAGCTCCGTACCGGTTCTCAGTAGGCCACGCACAGGCGCAGCGCCGCGTCTGCTGCAATCCCGGCGCAGCGCCGCCAGGCGAGACAGAAGCGGCGCGCCAGTCATCGGCAGGTGCCGTAATCAGCGCAGCGGCGGCGGTTCAATCTCGGCGCGCGGCGGCGTGGCGCGGCGCGGCTGCAGGAACAACGGCCTAATCATCGCGGCGGCCGGCGCTGAAAGGAGTAAGCGCCGCCGGCCGCCGAGCCCGCCGCCACGGGAAATGACGGTATATGTACGCAGGTGCGTCCCCGCCCCCCTCCCCCGCCGCCGGGCTGTCGCGGCCGACGAGTCAACACAATATTGGCTGCGTCTCGCCACCTCTGGAAAAGCCGCAGTAGCCACGCTGGCCACCACCGCAGCGTCACATTTTTTGAGGGATTGACCAAACCGACATTAGATGATTGAACAGGGAGATATAGAGATATTCTTGGTTCAGAACCGTCAGAGAGCAGCAACTTTGGGCAGCGAGGTGCGTGGGCGGAGAGCAGAAAAAGACGAGGGCTGGATCTATCACAGGCTGGATGATCCCATCGAAATCACCTTCTGGGGGCGGCGGGTCCGGAGTCGCCACCGGAACGGACGGATCGTTGGACGAGCGGCGACAGACGCCTCCCCACTGTAAATCATCTCGGAGCTCGACGGCGACCCAGACGGCAAAAAGTCCATCGGATGCTCCGTCCGAGAGGGCGGTGGCGAGGGGGAGAAAAGCGGTGACTGGGGAGGCGAGGGCAACGCCGGCAGGGGTGTAAGGGGGGAGGGGGTGGCAGAGTCAGAGAAGCCGGCGGAAGCAGCAGCGCGCATCAGAAGAAAGCAGCTTTGACAGCCGACGATCGGTGGGGCGTGTCCGTTTCCTGCTCCGCCGGGGAGGAACGGTACAGGGCGGCGGTCGGTGGGCGCTGAAAACAGCGCCGCAAAGACCAGAGAGGGAGGCAGAATAACTTTAGCATTGAGCAGAGAAGCCGTCGCTTAGAATGATAACATTTGAAGGGTTAATAAAGTTACCGGTGGCTAACTGGGGGCACAATCACATGAAACGGTTTTGGCCGGCAAAAGCAATGATGAATGACCACTACGGCTGAACGTTGGCAGTCCCAGTGCCTAACCACTGACCTTTAAAAGTTCCGTAAGATTTAAATGGTCACTGAAAGGCTCCGTCAAACTACGACTGAGCTGAATCGGAGGATGACAGCCCCATAGCTCTGCATTGAGCACAGCGTCTGCGAAGTTGCAGAACTCAGGATGTCATAAACGGTTATTCTGAGGTCGGACGAAACGCTTAAGGGCTGCTCTTTCCAGAAAACCCATCCAACCATCAACAATCCGGCTGTAATACTCTCTAGGGAGCGGTCTCAGACGTCCAAACATCCCAAACCAGTCCTCCTAGCCGGCCGTCGGCCTGAAATGTGACAGTCGCAGACGGTTACGGTCCAGCGATGAGCACTGAGCACACTTGACCCGGGAGCCCCCAGCCGTTCCAGTTCTAGCGGCCGTCTCGATCCCCCAGGGTCTGAGCTACGGGCGCCCCATCCAGTCAAGGTCGCCAAGTGACCCACGAACCACGACCGGTCTTCTAATGTCGAGAGCTGCCGTGACCGCTGTATTCAAATCAGCCGGTCATGGGCCGTTTCATGCTGGACGGACGGGCTAGTAGTGCTGCTACTGACCGGTCGCCACAGTCGCCACGGTCGCCACAGTAGGTCGCCACGGTCGCCACGGTCTGCTGCCACAGTCGCCACGGTCGGTCGCCACTTCAGCGGCAACCAATCGTCCGATCGAGGACATCAGTCCCGCCGCTCCGCCGCCGGTATCCAGCTGCGAGAGCTCATGGCGTGAGAGGACATACGCCGAGACTCTGCGCGATATCAGACTCATTACGCCGTGGTATGGACACTAAGTGGATTTATCGAACAGGGTCGCCTGGAGACGAGGCGATTTCGCTCGGCTGGAGACACGCTATCGCCTTTGATCAGGTGTGGGAAATATTCCGGCATGGCCTGATACCGGTGACGACTATTGCTGACGGCGTAATTGTCTATGCAGGTGAACGGATGGTATGGTTTTGACCGGAGCTTCACGATAAGGCCCTGGTGAAACGTCCCTGCTCCTGAGGTCTCCTGTCGTGACGGGATAGTAGCGCGATGGCCGATGGAGCAGTTACACTACCACTGGAAGAGACGAGGTAGATACCACCGGATAATTCCGCACTGACAGCACACCGTATGTCATACGTCATACGACACAATGTCAGGTCACGGAGATGTCATGTGAAAGGCCGCTGCCTGGCCGGCCTCGAGCGGGCGCATATATCGTGCGCAGCTCGATGATTCGTGAGGTCGCTCTCGCGTTGTCGGCTGATCGAGCTCGTAGATCAACTGTACCGGGGTGCGCACTGTCATTATGAGCTTGAAGAAAGTCCTTGTCACCGGTGCCGGGTCAGATACAGGTCGGATACCAGGTCAGACGACCTGACGTACGAGCAGAGGTCGCCAGGTCACGCGGTCACCGAGCTGTGATGTCTTTGCATGAGGCGGATAAGAAGCGACCAAAGAAATCGTGGCCTTTCGAAGAGTAACGCGAGGTCAAGAGGCGTTACTGCCCGAGTCCGCACCCTCAAACAGGGGTAGTTTGATCAGGTCGGGGACGGCCGCCTCAGGTCGGGGACACTCAACTGGGTTCCTGGCCACACCCAACCCCTTTGGGTTATCATACCGGCTGCAATCCCTACCAATCCCCGCCGCACTCAGCCAACTCGCCCGTCCATTCAGCGGCGCCTTTCCATAAACCGGGCACACAAAGCCGGCGCCGGCCTAGAGCCGTTCGGAGCGGCGTAATGCTCCAATCAAAAGGCCGTGCCGCCGCGGCGGGGCCGGCTCCGAGCGGTCGCAGCGGCCGGCCGCGCCCCGCGCCACCCCCTGGGCGCTCCACCGCCCCAGACTGGCCAGCAAATTCGGTTTATGAAGGTTCTGAGGGCCGGACGGGACAATTGGCATTCAGGAGGGCACGAGCGGCCCGGCCCTGGCCCCTGGGGTGGCCCCGGATCTGACCGGAGTCCGGAGGCCTTCACTCGCCCCGCACTGGGTCACACAGTTGGGCAGGGTGTGTTCGCTACCGTTCCTTTTTTGTCCGACGTTTAGTCTCGCATCGTTCGCGATGACTATCTCCTTTCATTCGACACTCTGTCTTCTCACTGTCAGTTTTTCTTTGGTGCATGATCTCTCTTTATCCGACGATCGATCATCGTTTCTCCTGGACGTCCGCTACCTCTGTAGCGTTCCCATTCCCGGCTCCAACACCTACCACTTACCGGACCCCATAATAATGCCTCTTTCAATACGCAC